GGACCCTCACCGCCCGGGACCCTCACCGACCAGGACCCTCACCGACCGGGGACTTCACTGACCGGGACCCTCACCGACCAGGGGCCTCACTGACCAGGGGCATGGCTGACTGGGGCCCTCACTGACCGGGGCCGTCACTGACCGGGGCCCACTCCTGCCTGTAGGGAGCATGTGAAGTGTGTTCAGGAGGGTCTGGACCAGCCCCCTCCACTGTGCCTGAGGCACACAGGGCCTGAATTAGGGGTGGCAGGCCTGGGTCCCCTGGAGGCCTTGTGGGGCTGGCTCTGGGCTCTGTGGCTCCCAGGCGGGCGGACAGCGGCACTGCCCAGGGTCAGCTGAGGAGGGCTCTGGGAGCTTTGAGGTGCTCGCACCGGGCCACTCCCAGCAGGCCTCCAGGGGTCAAGGCACAGACCCGCTGACCAGGGTGTGGCCAAACTTAACATGCCCCTCATGCCTGCCCTGAGGGGGTGACAGCATCGGGCTCGCCCCACAGCCTGGGCCAGGATGTGGCCTTCCTGGCATGAGAACGCCAGCTCCAGACCCGCCCAGGGAAGGGGAGGTGATGGGGGCTGTGGCCTGGCCACACGGGTCAGCCCACACCGGGGCACCTCGTGGATGCAGAACTGGGTCAAGGGGCCGCCAGCCCCACATCTCCCACCACTCCGCCTCGCCTCTCCTCCCAACGCAGCTGACCACGCAGTGCCCCCCCTCTTACCCAGCCTCCTTAGAACTCAGCATTTTGGCCCAGATGAGGTCAGTGTCAACGGGCTCCTCCCGGGGGTTAGTGGAGCTGACCTGCAGCGCCAGGCTCTCGCAGGGGGCGCCGGTGAGCGTGGCCAGGCCTTCGATGGCGCGGCCCGCCTGGAGCGCGAAGTAGGAGCCATGCAGCTTGGCCAGCGCCTTCTCGATGAGGGCCACCCACAGCTGCTTCCGCTGCGCCTGCAGAGGGCCAGGGTCAGAGGCCACCCCCGCCTGCCCCCCACACTACCCGCCCTGTGAGAAGAGGAGGCAGCTGGCCTTGTTTGTGGGGCACGGGGGCCGGGGTCAGAGGCTGCCCCTGCTGCCTGCGCACACCCCGCACGCTGCCCCACCTGTGAGAAGAGGAGGCAGCCGGCCTCATCGCAGGGCAGCATGTCATCCACCAGCACCGTGGTCCACGTGCCATCCTTACACAGCCGCACCTGGTAGGCGCCCTCTGCACACAGGCTGCGCGTGACCATCACCCGCTCCACCAGGTCCGGCCGCTCTGCCAGCACCGCCAGGGCGCTTAGGAACCTGTGCAGAGCCTCAGGGTGACCTCGGGGCAGCTTCGGGGGGACCGCGGCTGGACACCCGCCCACAGCCCCAACCCGGCCTTGGAGAGGACCTCACCAGCAGTTCCCCAGTAGCCCCTGCAGGATGTCTGAGGGTCGCAGCGTGTGGAACACAGACCACGTGGTCCTGTGGTCCCTGAAGACGGAGCAGTTGATCTCCTGGGGCCGCAGCCACTGCCTCACGCGCTGCTGCACGCTGTCGCCCGCGGGGAAGCCCACAGACTCAGGCCCGGGAGGGAAGCTGTCATCCACAAAGCTCACGTTGTTCTGCAGAGACCATGGCCACGTGCTCAGGCTGGGCAAGGCAGCCTCACTCCACCTGGCAGGGACAAGACCCCACCCAGGAGAGTGCCCGAAAGCACTGCCTGGGCCCCAAAGGGACGGG